GAAACGTAGTCTTCAGAGTTAGATGCTTAATTTTGTAGATGCAAATGTGCTACTTTTTGAAATGTCAAAAGTTATAATTTCTGAAAGTAAAGTGTGTGAGAGAGAACTACAATCTGCTTGATTTTATAAGCCTTACTGCTTAAATGCAGAGTCTCACCTTAAGCATCTCAGAAAAGGGCTTCAAAGAGAAGAACCTGACTATATAATGGGATATTTCATACAATTCCTGGGTTAATGAGATACAAACCACATTTATCCTCCCATTTACCATTGAACACCAAAGCCTAAGGTTAATCATCCTAACAAGAGATAGCCAGGTCTGATTTACACTTTGCCATGTGCTGTGGCTGAAAAAAAATTACTAAAGACCCCAATGTGAACTGATACTACATGTGCCAAACATTGAATCTAATTATCTTAGATGAACAACAAAACTCTACCTGGTCACCTGACAACACAGTTTCAGGTTCTGACACGCATCAAACAAGTAACCACATTCCTGAATGCCTGAAGGTGTTCTTTTTTCTTTACTTCTATAAGCAGGTATTACATATACAGGATGCTGGAGGAAATACACATGAATATGATAGACTGTCCACCCTCACAGAACAAGTCCTTTGGGACCTGATTGATTTTCCAGCTCCAAATCAAAGTAGATCTTTCCCATTTTCTTTTTAATATTCCCATGTAGATCCTCCAGATACTTCCCCAAGCAGTCATATAGTTAATGCTCCTCTATGTTCATCCATATAACTTAAATCAAACTATTGCAAAGTTTATTTTTAACCTAACATGAAAACACCTAAAATTTTATTAGGACAGGCAAATCATATCAAGTACTGAAAAATGCACAACTGTTTGGTCTGGTTACTGTCCTTGGGGAACTGACTGGATGTTCTCTACTGGCGAATGTGGCAGATATTCAGAGGCACATCAGGCATGAAAGTAATTCTAAGAAAATTATCAAATATTGTGACTTGCTAGAGTGTAAAATTATATTACAATGAATAAAAAATGTCTTTGTAGTGGAGATATTGAGACATACCAATGCATTATCAGTATGCATGCTACTATTTAAGTTGTTTTTCTTTAGGTGAAACTTCAGTGAAGTGATGAAAGGTCCGGGATCTGAAGTTGGTGCCCTGGGTTCTTCCTACTTCCCTGGTGGGTGATGTTGGCCAGTTCACCTTTAGCCTTGGTCTGCACGATTTAAAATAGGTGTTGGTAGCAGCTACCATCCCTCTGAGGGTGTGGTAATGATTAAATGAGAGAATGTGTTAGCAGTGTTGGGTCTCAGAAAATAATACTCCAAAAGTTTGGCACTTTGGCATGCTGAACACTTTGAACTAAAATAGGAAGTCTTTAGAAGCTGCCTCAGAATCCAGAACTTCCCAACTTCGTCTTTCTCCCCTCCCACACCCAAGTACAGGGTGGCACTCTGTCTGGAATTACCTTATTTGACTAAGGAAACTTCTGTCTAAAAGAAATGAAATTGTCTTAAGGCCCTCTCCCAGGAATCTCATCAAATAACTAGGAAACATCAACCACCAGAGAAGAGAAGAGACTAGAAGTTATTACTATGCCCAGAAGGACTTTTCATCCATTCTTCTAAGAGTAAATCTGAGAGATGGCCTGGGAGACTTTATCTGCATAATAAGATGACCTTTGTTCACAGTGAAGTTCTGCCCGTCACCTTCCCACCGCCTACCCCAGAGTTCAGGGGAAGCCTGTCCCAGGCCATTGTTCTTTGGACTCATTCCTTTTCCCTGAAAATCATTTACTATCCCTCACAATTGCATACATCCCCCCGCCATCTCCCTCTCCCCTATGAAGAGGGTATTTAAGTCTCAACCATCTGGCCCTCCTTTCAGTCTCATGTTTTATGTGGCTTCTGTGTTTATGCATATTAAATACATTTGCACGCCTTTCCCGCCTGATTAATCTACCTGTTGTCAGTTGTGTACGGGAAGCTTCAGAGAGGGTGGAAGGGAAGCTTTCCCTACACCCCTACAGCAGTCAGGGAAGGTTCATGTTTCACTTACCACTAGTGATGAGTCCTTATTGCCAGCTTCAAAATCCCATTTTAGAATCTGCTTCCTTGGGCCACACCTGGTTCTTACTGTCATAAGCTGAGTTCCTGGGAAAGACTGACACAGAGCCTTGTGTGCAAGAGGTTTCCTGGGGTGTGCACTCAGGATCAACCGCTGTGAGGGGTGAGGGAAGCAAGACTGGGGAGCTGGTGAACTCTAAAGCCGTTCAGTAAAAGGGAGTCCTGGGGCTGGTCTGGCCTTCAGAGATGCCCCATTGAGGCATGGTGATCAGAGCTTCATATGCCTCTATTGACCAGTCTTTGATTGAGGGCTGCCTGGAGGTTGTGACCTTGGATAAGACAGCTATCTCGAGCTGAGAACTGTCAGCCACCAACACTTTCAGCAGCCTGGAGAGTGAGTGATTTTGTGTGAGGGGGCATTTGTGTGTTACCCAGAGTAGTCATTAAATTCACCTCCTAAAAAAGCAGGATTTTCAGAATGTTTCACAAAGCAAAATCTAACTCTGTTGTATTCAAGAGACATGCTCAAAAAAGTGTTTCAGAAAGGCTAATAACAAAAGGATGGGCAACGGAATACCAGGCATGTGTAAACTAGAAGGGCCGGGCAGGGTGGGGTACAGGCTACCTGTGTGTCCTCTGCTTTCCCAAGGGTGTGGGATCACTTCCTTACTGCTGGGCAGGGGTGAAAGTTCCAGTTCCCTACTGGGCATCCTCTATCTAATCAGTGCAAATTGAAAAGGGTGACTTGTCCTTCCAAGTAGGGGTGGAAATGGAAGTTCAGATTCCCTACCTGGTCTGCACCTGCCATGGGGGTGCAGGCGAGGGGCCTCACTACTGCCTGGGAATACTGGGAGATGATGAGCATCCCAGTCCCTACTCTGTCTTCTCTGACACCACCCTGGTGAGAACAGGAAAGGGTGCTGGGGGAGGGCAGAAGACTAGGCTCCCTGTTCAACCTTCACTGGCTGGGGCGAAGTTGGGGTCATGGTGTTTCCCTTGGCATTTGGCTGGAGTAGGACGATTTCTGTCTAAAAGTGTTTCATCTTGCTAGGTTGCCCCTTTGCTGGTCCTTTGTCTAGAGAGAGTAGGCTTTTTTGGTCTGTATCCCTGGTTTTTCCTGATAGCAGACTTCTTCTCCCTGTTGTGTGCAATTTGATCCATGGGGCATGGGATGCTGAATAGAGGCCGCAGCTTTCAAATGTCAGCATTCCTAAGAATCACCTAGAATGACTCTGGAGAGGGCCACTTCCCGGATCCTGTTCCTCGAACCACACCAAGAAGAACTGATTTGGAAGTTCATTTGAACTGTTATTTATTTATTAGTTTGAACCCTTATTTATTTATTAAAATGTTAGTTCTTCCATCATCAACACTTTTCACATTAGGGATTTGTTAAAAGTCATAAAATGCTAGATTTTGGTAGCTGTTAGCCTCCACTTCCTCAGCATGCTATGTATAAGTACAGTGAATGGGCAGAGAAATTTCTGAAAATAGAAACTCTAGCAACCCACAATTACTTGGAAAACTCCTTCATTCATTTGAAGCATTTACATGAAATAGATGGCAGGTGCTAAAGCCATCATTTTATGTGACTAAAGATGAAGCTACTCAGGGACAAATAATTAACTTTGATTTAAAGATGCCCTTTTCCCCAAATTGGCCAGTAATCACATTTCATCAGTTTCTATGTATAAGCGGGGAATGTCATCAAAACAAATATCTGTATCATATTTTTACCAAGACAGTTGTCAATAAAGGGCATGCTTTTTTTTTTTTTTAAAAAAAGATGACCGGTAAGGGGATCTTAACCCTTGACTTGGTGTTGTCAGCACCACGCTCAGCCAGTGAGCGAACCGGCCATCCCTATGTGGGATCCGAACCCGTGGCCTTGGTGTTATCAGCACCGCACTCTCCCGAGTGAGCCACGGGCCGGCCCCAAAGGGCATGCTTTTAATGAAACTAAGATGTTTCCCTTAGAGGCTACACCCCTTCTTGGGTCATTTGTCAGATTTTCATCTCTTGGGACTTAAGGGGACTCATATTTTAAATATTGTTACTGAATATTCCTTCACAAGCAAAAAGAAAAATCTATGTTCAAGCCCATTTCTTTAAAGACAGCTTAGAGGGCAGTGAGTCTAGCACAAGCCTCTTTCTGTTAAGGTAAAAAGGGAAATTCAAGTGTGTGCTGCCCTCCTTCTCTGGGAGGATGTTGAAAAACGCTAATCTTTCTTGTTTGCTTTTCAGGTTTTGTGTGTACTTTTCAGGTTTCCCAAATGCTTTGAGAATTCAGGCTGTGAACATGACCATGTGAGCACCTGGTAGCTCAGAGAACAGGAACATGTGGTTCTTGCCTCTCTCATGGGCAAGCTATAACCCAAACCCAGCAAAGCCAGGACCCAATTTATTTTCATTGAAACAAAATAATTAAAGGTTGTTTTGATGAGTAAATGACATATTTGATTCAATGAACCAGTTATTAGAGTTAAAACAAAAAAATGAGCAGTGGGTTCCTGACAGTTTATTTTTTCATAAGACTCTTGGCAAGATCTAAAAACTCCCCACACCACGAGGGACAGAAACAGAGATCCACCTACTAGCATCTGAACACTAAGGAGTAAAATTGTAAAAATCTTTAAATTGGCAATGGAGTATATAGAGAAAATCCTGTCCTTTATAACATTTTGTACATTTTAAGACAATGATCAAGTTCTTGATAGTGAAGAATTAGAAAATGCAGCATTTCTAGCCAGGACAGAGAGTAATTGCCTTATAAGTTTAGTAGTCAGAGAAGATTTATCTAGTAACAAATGTCAGAGAAGCAACCCCCTCTGCCTGTCTCTCTTACCCTGTCTCTACACGGATTACTTCTGATATGTCAAACATTACTTTACTGAAGAGAAATAGACTTTGCTTTCTAATTTCTATTAGATTCATGTGAAAATTGGAGGAATCACACAAGGGTTTTGCTCTGACCAGTTACTTTGTTGATCTCCAGTGGCCCCACCATTTGGAAATGGTCAGTCTGCCCTTCCTTGGCCTCCGCAGGGCCTGCAGATCTCCTACTCCGCCCTGCACAGCCCTGGGAGCAGCCAGAGGAGTAGTCCCCCACTTTGCACACAGCAATCTTACACTGCAGATAGACCACATCATAGCTTTCAAGAAAGCTGAAAGCATTGAACTTGAACTGGGCCACATTCTTCTGGCGGGAGTGGAGGTTGGCGTAGGTACTGTCTTTGATGCACCTGATGGGAAGAAAAGCCAAAAAGATTCACTTAAAGCATGATGTAAATCACTCTGACCCAAATAATCAAGCTTGGACCCAGACTTCTGAATTCCAAATGGAGTTCTTCCCACTACCTGCTCTTTCTTTTATAAAGAAATTTTATAACCCTATGGTGAGTGGAAAATTCCTGGCCCAAAATAGAAGAGAATTGTAAAATAAACACAATAAAAACAAAACAAAGAAATTAAATTCTAGCTAGAGCTCTTGCTTTCAGAAAGCCTACAGGGGAGAAACGGGACTGGGTGGTTAGCTCAGTTGTTTAGAGCGCGGCACTGATAACTCCAAGGTCCAGAGTTTGATCCCTGTAATGGCCAGCTGCCAAAAAAAAAGGGGGGGGGGGGGGGGGGGGGGGGGGGGGGGGGGGGGGGGGGGGGGGGGGGGGGGGGGGGGGGGGGGGGGGGGGGGGGGGGGGGGGGGGGGGGGGGGGGGGGGGGGGGGGGGGGGGGGGGGGGGGGGGGGGGGGGGGGGGGGGGGGGGGGGGGAGGGATTAAAAGTAGTAGTTGTATTATTTAAAGATGAATTTAAGATTATTTAAAAATGTATACTGTAAACCCTAGGGCAACTACTGAAAAAGTTAAGAAAAAAGGTATAAGTGATATATCATGAGGAAATAAATATATTTATTTCATTGCTCAATTAAAACTGGAGCAATTTAAGTGCTCAGTTAAAACTAAATGGAACAAAAGGGGCATGTGGGGAAGAAACAAAGAACAAATGAATAGAAAACTGTTACCAAGGTGGTAGATTTTAATCTAACTATATCAATAATCATTTTGAATATAAATGGCCTAAATATACTGATTTGAAGACAAAGTAGATTAAAAAATAAAAGTAGACAAAAAGCAAGACCCAACTATGTGTTATCTACAAGAAACCCACTTTAAATATAAAGACATAGATATATTAAAAGTAAAAGGATGGAGAAAGGTACACATGCTGATATTAATCAAAAGAAAGCTGGAGTAGCTACATTAATTTCAGACAAAACAAACTTTAAAGCTAGGGTAATTATCAGGCACAAAGTGGGACATTACATAACAGTACAGGGTGGGGGAAATCCTCCAAGACAACATAACAATCCTTAATGTCTAAATACTTAACAAGAGAGCATCAAAATACATGAGGCAAAAACCTATGGTACTACACAGAGAAATAAACAAATCCACTATTATAGATGGATACTTCAACATTCTTCTATTAGTAATTGACAGATCCAGCAGTAAGAACATCAGTGAGACTATGGATTGGCCCACTAGACGTAATTGGCATTTATTGAACATTCCATCCAACAACAGCAGAATACACTTTATTCTCAAGCCCACATAGAACATTTATCAAGCCAGACCACATTCTAGGCCATAAAAGATACCTCAACAAATTTAAAAGAATAGAAATCATGCAAAATACACTCAGATCACAATGGAATTAAACTAGAAATCAGTGACAGAAGATTGCTGGAAAATTTCCAAATATGTATTAATGAAACAACACAGTTCTAAGTAATCCATGGGTCAAAGAAGAAGTCGCAAGAGAAATTTTAAAATATTTTGAATTAAGTGAAAATGAATATACAACTTATCAAAATTTGTGGGATGCAGCTATAGCAATGCCTACAGGAAAATTTATTGCAGTGAATGCACGTATTAGAAAAGAAGAAACGGGAGGAGGGGGATGGGGGAAAAGGAGGGGTGAGGAGGAAGGGGGAAGGGGAGAGATTGGATAAGGGGCATAAAGAATAAGTATGATTTGCAACAATGAATATCTAATAAAAAAAAGAAAATATGTGAATGCACTGAAAAAAATCTAGAGGGACAACATAATCCAAATTGTTAATAGTGGTTATTTCTCTGGGTAGGATTGCAGGGGAATTTTACTTTATTAAGCATCCATCTCTGTAATTAAAGAAAGTGTACAAGAAGCATGTCTTATCTTTTAACAGCTTTATTAAATTTACGTACCATCAAAAAAAAAAGATCTAAAATCAATAATCTAAGCTTTAAAAACTAGAGAAAAAACAGCAAATTAAACCTAAAGCAAACAGAAGAAAAAAGTGTCGCTGGTTAAATTCTGGCACCAAACTGAGCCTGTGACTTGATGTATTTGTAAGAAGGATTGAAAGGGAAGAGCTTTCTCACTCTGTGGCTCAGTGCAGTTTAGAGCCACTTCTGTGCATCTCTCACGCCACGGCTCATACCACCTGCGGAAGGTGCTATGTGCTGCCTCTCCCCTGGCTTTTGGAATCAGGTAACCACAGTGCCTCGTGTGGGCTGTAGTCTGTTGTGCCTCTCACCACTCTAAAGCTGCCATTGAGTAAGTGATGTGTTTTTGTTGTTTTCAAACTGGTTGCCAATTGTCCATCCACAACATTTTGTCCATGTTAGGGGAGCTATAAAGGCAAATAACTTGCCAAAGTAACTTGGCAAACCATTTGGATAACCAAAGGAGCTATAATAAATCTCACAAGTATAACTAAGAGCCTAGCTTGGGATAACCCACCAGCCCATCAGTGTAGGCCAAAGGCCCTGAGGGCCTGCACCATGAGGCCATACAACCAGAAGGGAAGGGAGACATGGGCATGAAAGGTTGGGTGAGACAGCAGCAACCAGGGCAGCAAGGGCCCTGCCAGGACTCTTTGGGGATACAAGGGAGGTTGTGCAGGCTACCTATAACTCTTTGTCCCAAACTGGGATCAGAGGGATGGTTAAGGCTCCCACCCTGTCTCTGATCATGGTGAGGACTCATTCACACAATGTTCTGATTTAGGACTACCAGTTCAGAAGCCACAGATTTCCTAAAGAAATACATGTGAATACAACAGTCAACCCAAGAGGGCCTTGCATTTTCCTTACCCCTGCTGGATTAAGTCATGCTTGGTGGTTGTAAAATCATGGGGATCTGGAGAAACCACACAGGTATCCACGAAGAGCCTCAGGTTGGAATCAGGGCTATGGAGGGTAGCTTGGAGGAATACCTCTTTCCTCTGGCTGGTGTAGTATGGTACCATACCCCCCACAGGCTGGGATGCAGGTGACTGGAGGACTGATATGGACACATCATAGCCGGCACCCTCTGTTGGGGCGTCAGCTCCATGAACGATCTCAATTGCAGATGGGCCATCCACCCTGCAGGTGAACTTCAGCTGCGGCACCTTGTGCCGCAAAATGAGTTGGCCAGGGTGGCCACGTATTCGGTCTCTGATGGAGTTGGAGTAGCTGAGGGAGCCGAGGTATTCCTGTGAGGATGAGAAGAGAGTTAGTGGCTAGCGCTCCTGGCTCGCTGACAACACCTGCCCTCATGAGCAGAGACCTGTCCTTCCTATCCCTGCTTGGCATCAGCTTGCTGATGTGCTGGAAGGCAGGAACCCTGGGCTGGACCTCTGTGGTGCCTAATGCCATGAGAGGGTGATGTCACGTGCAGGGTTCATGCAGGGAATCCTCCGTGGGTGAGCCTGGACTCCCTCTTCCCTCCGGTGAGGGCCAAGCTGTGGTCCTATGAGCTGGGCTGGCAGGGCTGCCCTGGCTGCTTGGAACTCTCTCTCCACCTAATTCTTCCACACATTCCATTCCCTCAGGCACCCCAGGCCACGTGTCACTGCGGCTCTTGTCCCCTCTTTTGTCTCCTCCCTGCCCTTAACTCCAGACCAGTCCTGGCTCCATGTGAGCTGCGGGCTTGGTCCTGCTGACCTTCCCTCCCAGCCTTGTTCCTTCACAGTCAGCACGACTTGAAGGGGCTAAGGGAGTGCTGAGGGCTGACCAGCAGGGGCCACTGCCTCTCGCCGTCTCCTTCCCATGCCCTGTGTAGACACCCAGAGACTCAGCCTGCCCAGGGACATTTGCTCAAGGAAGCCTCAGCTCGTGCAACTCCGGTCCTGCAACACTCGGCCTCAGAACCCTCTGAGGATGACCCGTCAGCTTAGATCAGTATTTCTCAGCCTTTTTTCTATTATGGCTCTCCTAAGGAGCCTTTGCAGACATTTTCTTTTCTACTCGTTCTGCCCTCTCTCCAGCCCCCACTATGGAATTTAAACACAACAAATACACTGTTTATATATTGCATGTACGTCTGTGTTTTATCCATAAAGAAAGATTTTATTAATTTTGCTCCTAAGAACCAATATCTATCTCCCCTCCTCCCTGAGGATGAAAATGCTCTCCTCGAGAATGCACAGCTTAGAACAAAATCAAATTCCTCGGCCATGGTCCTGCCCCTTCCAATCTGACCTTGGGCTTCCCGGCCTTCGGTTTCTCCCCCAGTCCCCCGCACTTGCACCTACCCGTCCCCTGCACGGAGCACTGCTCCGGCTCCTCCTGCTCCTCCTGCTCCTCCTGCTCCTCTTTACCTGGCCGCTCTGTCTCATCGTTCAGGCTTGGCTCCTCAGCCACCACCCTATCCAAAGTGTCTTCCCTTCCACTCAAATCGCTCTCCTACCCCCTTCCTTGTTTTGTTGTCTCCTTAACCCTTTTCACTGTCAAAGGGACTCTCATTTGCGTGTTTGTTCAGTGTCTCTTGCCTTTTTCTTGAATGTAAGAGCCATGGGGCAGGGATGCTGTTGGTTGTACAGCTGTTGTATCCTCCACACCTAGAGGGCTGTTCATTCACTGTTTCTGAAATCAGACACAGGACCTCTGTGTGGCAATGGTTTCCTCATGGGTGGCCTGGGACTGGCTGTCACCCCATAGGGTTCTTGACCCTGCTGTGTTCTCTGGCCCCAGCACTAAACAGTGTGTGTCTAAACAGGGATGTGAAAGAATAGAGGAACAGTAATTATGGGGATCTTGCTTTGGAACATGTTACATTGTCAAATATACAGAGAAAAAGATTTTGTGGTTATACATTCTTCCCATCTCTTTGGTATACTTATTTCCTTAACTTCAATGCCATTGTTTTGTGAAATAAGGTGGTTAAGGAAAATTAAATAAACATATGTATTTCATTATTCATAAATGTCCCAGAAGATTGCTTTCTAGATTGTGGAATGTAGCTATCTACCTGGTTGGAAACACAGCAGTCAGACAAACAGACAGACAATCTGTCCTCCCCCATGCCCAGCACCAGAGCTTGAACATGGCAGGTGTGCACTGATGCTCAGTCAGGAAGCATGCTGTGAAAAATGCTTTGCTTTTGAAGCTAGGAGGTTATCAATCCATCCATCCATTCACACATCCATCAGTCCATTAGCCCTCAACACTCGCTATCATATCCCAAATTCAGTGTGTATCCCAAATCCCCAAAAGGAGGGAAAGTTTCAGACAAATTAGTGAGCTGCTCTAGTTCTCACCAAACTCAGGAATGAAGTCATGACTTGTGCCTTTCCTCTGTCCCTACCCACTTTTTTAACAGGTGGTTGAATTTTCCAAACCTGTCTCCTTGGCCTCCATCCACAGAAAGATACCAGCACCTTGTCAGTTTCTCACCTGCTGGATGGTGCCACAGCGGCCATAGGGAATATTGAAGATCAGGTAGCGCCCCGTGACTTGGGGGCGACACATCTCATCATTTAAGTGGACGTCCCAGGAGGAGTAGCCCAGTCTCCGGAGATAGCCTCGGTCAATGACGGCTTGGAAGAGGTGAGGCAAGCAAGAGAGCTGGGCTGCAGGTGGGGAAGATGGAGAGACCGTCACAAAAAGAACCTGGTGCACTGGACGTGTAGGTCAGGGTGTGCGTGTACCTTTACGTTCTAGAAGCACCCCGGACAGTGCTCAGGGCCGGGGCTGGCGCAGCTTTTCTCACCCACACCCTTGACTTGACTTTCAGTGACTATGTTTATATCCACCCTTTGCCCAAAAGACTTTGAAGTCACACCACATCCATGCATGTGGCTTCACACTGTCCCCACAACACACTGTTCCCATGGACTGTTCATTTCCCATGATGAGAACCCCTGAGCCCGAACAAGTATCTATTTGAGTCTTTGGAGGTAAATTGGAAAAAGAGAAGAAAAGCAATGGTGGGGGCCGGCCCGTGGCTCACTCGGGAGAGTGCGGTGCTGATAACACCAAGGCCCCGGGTTCGGATCCCACATAGGGATGGCCGGTTCGCTCACTGGCTGAGCGTGGTGCTGACAACACCAAGTCAAGGGTTAAGATCCCCTTACCGGTCATCTTTAAAAAAAAAAAAAAAGAAAGAAAAGAAAAGCAATGGTGGAGGAAGCCTGGAGCAAAAGAGCTTCTTCCCCAACCTCCCAGGAAGTGGGTGGAAATACAAGAGCCCTCAGTGGACACACAGAAGCTGGTTCCCCCTCACAGCCTCTTTTCCCCATCAGCTGCTGCCTTAGCTCTCCCTTTCTGCAGCCTCAGCCTCAGATCCTAGGAGGGGGGAAGACTTTACCATTGTCCTTGGGTACAACAGAATCAGCTGGATCTGGTAAGAGGAGAACAACGAAAAACAAATGTCAATTGTGCTAAAACACTGGAAGAGAAGGATGTAGCAATTAGCAGACGTAAAGTGTAGGTAAATGGGTTCATTTGATTTAGTTATTAAAGCTGGAGTATAATGGCATGAGAATATTCCAGGGCATGCAAAAGAAAAGAGGACCCAGGGCCACCTGATGGAGCTGGATTCTGGCACGTGTCAAATAGTGTTGAGAATAAGGGTATCTTCAACACCAGGATTTGTTGGCACAAGAGAATGGTAAACACAGTGCTTTGGAGGTTATAAGCATCAGCACATGTATGGACTCTGTCTAGTGCTCCTTCTCACGCACACGACAGACTTGGAACCTCAAGCTGGGGAAGATGCAGTTTGCTGCTGTCAAAGGCTTCTCCAGCTCAGAAGTGAGGCAGGACAGGACCCCAAGCCCAAGGCCCAGCCCACAAAGCATGGCTGGCCAGATTCACTCAACTCCTTCGGATCCTGGGCCCCAGACCACACAGCCTTTGCCCACAGTAGCTGATGCTGAAGAAACCTCCATGGTGTATAAACTGAGAATGGAAAAGGGATTGTCATTTAGAATTGGTCTCCTGACAGCACTGGGAATGGCTGGAACTAGGAATAGACACAATAAAAATGAGGATGGAGAAGGGAAGGACCCCATGATTCCAGCACAGACTCATACTGCTCAGCTCTCTGTGTGATTGTCTTTGGGGGACTCTGATAGCTTTTTTATTAGGGCCCCATATCTATGCAAAACGAGGTAACAGCTACAAAAAGGTAAAAGCAAGGGCAAGAATATTTTTGGTTTACCTGTAAAAACTAAGAATGGAACAGACAAGGTGTGCTCAGACTTGTTCACCAAATCTTAGAATCGCGTAACTCTTTGAGATTGACAAGGATTAATTCAGGGTAAACTTAGGATACATACAAGGAAGTACTAACTCCACACAGAAGGGAGTCGGCCTGTGGAAGTCAGAATTGCCAAGACAGATGCTGGGTGATAATAAAATACAGTCCAGGAAAGGTATAGGCCGAATCTTGGATGAAAGGGACACGGGGAACCTGGGACACTGTGGGGTGTCTTTCTGACTTCTGAAAGGCAGGTCAAGGTGAAGAAGCATGTCCACCCCGGATTGTGCCTTCTCAGAGACCGGGAAAGGGACTGGCTGACAGCAGCAAGTTCCATGTCCTTAACCACGTTGTTACACCGTCACTCATGGTCTTTCAGCTACGTTTCAGAACTAATACTGCGCTGAACTGGACTAAGACAAAACTGCTTAATAAGCTCCCAAGCCTGGAAGATTAAGACGCTACCCTGCGTCTACAACAAACACGTCCTGCGTGTGCCAGGATGGGGGGCCTCGGCCGAGCCCGATGCTCCCGGGGGGCTGAGTTTTGACCTCTGGACGGCCCGGGAGGTGGGTACCTGCGCAGACCACACCCGCGTCCTCGCGGTGGTGGCAGTTGTGTCGCGCCCAGCCGGGGTGGGCGCAGCGCTCCAGCGCGTCCTCGGTCCCCGTGCAGCGCACGTCGTCCAGCAGGATGGGACCCGCGCCCGGGCCGAAGCGGCCGTGGCCGGGGGCGCTCAGCGCGCGGCCGCAGCCCAGCAGGCGG